CCTCTCCTGGCTGCCAGACAGCCTATAAATTAATGACCAGGTGATCACACTTTGCTCAGAGAGCAGAAGGGATCATGAGGAAGGCAGTCTCAGCTACTGACTTATTTGAGGGATATCCTGGTTGGGTTTTGCAAACATCTCGCTTTGAACATGTCAGAGCAGCTCTTGTTGACAGCAGATGTCAGAAAGTGGGTTGAAACTGATTTTGATGGGTTGGGCAGGGGGACCAGGGCAGATGACCGTCACTTTGTGTCATAAACCTTTTGGGCTATATAATAGTTAATCTTTTGCATATGTTACTTTGGTGGTAAAAAAAAAAAAAAAAAAAAAAAGTAGAAAACAGGGACACCTGGGTGGCTCAGTCAGTTGGGCGTCTGCCTTCGGCTCAGGTCATGATCCCAGGGTCCTGAGATTGAGTCCCTCATGGGGCTCCCTGCTCGGTGGGGGCCTGCTCTGCCTGCTGCTCCCCCTGCTTATGCTCTCTCTTTAAAAAAAAAAAATAGAAAACACAGGGTGCCTGGGTGGCTCAGACGACTGAACAGCCAGCTCTTGACTTCGGCTCAGTTCATGATCTCAGGGTCGTGAGATCGAGCACTGCATCCTGCCTCAAGCTGAGCAAGGAGCCTGCTTGGGATTCTCTCCCCTCTCCTTCTGCGCCTCCCCTCTCCCCCCGCTCACATGCACATGCATGTACACTCTCTCTCTTAAAAAAAAAAAATTAGAAAATACTACTGATGGAGTAACTTGAGTTTATATTCAACAATCCTTTTGCTCACGGTACTGTGCTGGCAGGTGAAATAAGGGAAAGGCCTGAGCCCTGACACCACGGAGCATCGTGACCCCGCTGGATGCTCGCCTCCGGACTTTCACAGGAGAGGGAAGTAAACTACCTTGCGTAAGCCACACTTATTTGGGAATTCCTGTCATTCTAGCCCTTTGGGTATTAGACCCATTTCTGGAAAGCCCCTCTTGTACCCCCAAGGCTGGGTAAGTGTCCTCTTGTCTGTTCTTCAAACACCCCACTCTTTTTCATTTCTTAGCATTTACTACATTTTTGTGTAACTGACCGTTCACTCCCCCTGGACAGTGACTTCCAGAAGGACAGGCAGAAACTATTTTATACACCATTTTCTGCAAATGCTAGAAACTCCTAAAACAATGACACTAACAACTTGTGAAGGTGATAGACACAATGATTCCACCCAGAGTGTCGAGGGGAAATGACACACTGCTGCATAGTTTCCGCATCAAACGGGACATTGCCAAGTCATCTGGATTTGCGGGGCGGGCCCTTCTGAATAACCAAAGATGGAAAATTAGGGCAAAGGAGGGAGGGAGGGAGGGAGGAAAAAGTGGCAGGAAATTCAAGTCATCTGAGGCAGGTGGCACCAGAAGAGGGTGCTCTTCCTACTTTGTTTCCCCCATTTTTCCATTCCTGGCTCTTCTCAGCTCCCCGTGGCTCTAGCCCTACCCCTTTGGTCCTGGTGTCCTATCACTGGCACTTCTGTCCCCTATATCGTGCCTCAGTTATCCCCCACTTCATTCATATTTCAGAATCAGCCTGATAGATGCAGAAGACACACACACACAGAGCGAGAGCGAGAGAGAGCAAAGAAGACAGCTCCTTATTCTTCTCTCATTCTTTCATTCCACATACATTCACTGCTAAGAATTGCAGATAGAGAAAGGTGCACAGACACCATCTCTAGCTTCAGGGAAGTCACATTCTTGGCTGGAATTTGAGAGGAAACAGGAGCTCTCCGTTCCCCCGAATATCTCAGCAAAGTCAAAATATTTATTGTTTCCTCTCTATCCTCTTCTACAAAGTGTTTGGTTGGTTGGTTGGTTGGTTGGTTGGTTGGTTAGCTCCCCAGCACTGGATCTTGTTATGCCCGTTTATTGGTTGGAGAAGTGGTGTCAGCGGAAGTGAGGACAGCTGGACAGGTCAGAGTTCTAGGTGTAACAAAGAAGATATTTGAGAAGCTGAGGTATTGGGGAGTGAGGGTTTGGGAACTGGATGGAAAAGCAGTTCTTAAAAGAAGTTTCACCATGTGGTACACATGACCCCCAATTCGGTCTTCAAGAGATCTTCAGTGGAGACTTCATGTTATTTTTTTTCTGGACTTGCATGTCAGGTTGGTCTGGCTGGTTTCTCACTGGGTGCCCCCCAACCCCACCCCCCGCCTCTGCACTCAGCACTTCTGCCTGCACAACCCAGAAGGGAATTGTGCCACTGAGGCAGGAGCTGGTAGCTGCCAACAAAGTTATCCACTCTCTGGCTTTCCTTCAAAACTAGAGTATATTTTATTTCATAGCAATGTGCCCAGTAGAAAAAAAAAAAAAAATCTGCGTTTCCCAAACTCCTTTGTTGTTGGTTTGACTGGGTGACTAGGGGCACCTGGATGCCTCAGCTGATTAAGGATCTGACTCTTGATCTCAGCTCAGGTCTTGATCTCAGGATCGAGAGTTCAAGTCCTGTGTTGGGATCCCATTGGACATGGAAACTGCTAAAATAAATAAATAAATAAGTGACTTTGTGATATAAGCAGAAGGATTGAGAAGAGTTACTTGGAAGTCTGCTTTAAAGGAGCTGAGTCAGCTGAGAGGTGACTCCTCTTGCCTTCCCCACCTTCTCAACTGTTGCTTCAATTTCAGATGTGATGGCTGGAACTCCTGCAGCTATATTGGACCATAAGGTGACATAGTGGAAACCATTCAGGCTCTGGATGGCCTACCCCCAGACTGGTTTAAGAGGGAGGGGGGAAAAATCCAGTTTTATCTTGACATGGTCACTTTAGATCTTTTGTAATGAGTGCCCAAACTGAAACCTGATATGGCTATGGTTAATATGGCACTGCTTTATCACTATTTGGTTGGGTTTGGTAAACGAATTTATATTTTACGGATTTATTTCCTTTATTATTTTATTAAATTTGCACAGAAACTACACACACACATACACACACAAAGACACACATACTCTTCTGTCAATGCAAAATTGCAGTTATACACATACATGCTTTTTTAAAGTATGGTTTTGGATTCTTTTTTTTCTCTTCATTTTTTGCCCTCAGTTTCCCTACTTATTAACAGCCCAGTATATGTCCTCTCATATAATCTCATTCAAATCTGAATCTGCTGGCAAAAAGAGGCTGAGGGGCAGGGTGGGGAGAAGCAAAGAAAAGTGTAGGCACGTGAATGAAGGTGGAGACCATAATGGCTTGTCATAAATATTCTAGATGGATCGCACTTCCCCAACCACCTCCAGCCCCCGCCCCAGGTTTGCAAGACTGGGGAATTTGCTTTGGCCACTGCAATGTGCACTGAGGTTACTGTAGGTCACTTCCAGGTAGACACCTTCACAAACCAGAGTCCAGTTTGATGCCCATCCCCCTTCCCTTGCATCAAGAGGGCACATCCATCAGCTTTTCTCCCTGAGTGACTGTGATGAGCAGGGCCCCCTGCTAACCTATGTCAGATGTGAGGGAGCAATAAATCTTAGTTGTGTTGACCCATTGAGATCTGGGGGTTGTATGTCCTCACAGTATAACAGCTTATCTGCATTGAACTAGGAGAGCATAGCAGGGGATGTTAATTGTCTCCGTCTTTCTTTAGTAATCAAACCCGTAGTCTAGGGCTACCCAGCTAAAGAGTACATTTCCTAGCCCCTCCTTCACCTCGAAGTACTCCTGTGATTTCATTAGAGCGAATGAGATATGAGTGGAAATCATATTTACAACTTCTGGCTGTGCCCTTTAGGAGATGGGGTACATCCTGCTTCCCCTTCTCTACTTCCAGCTGGCTGGAATGCAGATGCAATGACAGGAGCTGAAACAGCCACATGAGACCAAGAGACAAATATCCCACATTGAAGATATCAAAGCACCAAGAAAGAATTTAGGTCCCCATCACAAGGGAGCCACTGGAGTATTACATGAGAGAGAAATGAAATTGTATTTTATTTAAGCCTTGATTATTTAGGACTTGGTTACAGAAGGTGAGCCTGTAACCTACTACCCAACCCATGTGCTAGCCTGTTTTGACAATTAGACTATGGAAAATAAAAACCGTATCTCCTGAGGCAGCTGGGTGGCTCAGTTTGTTAAATCTCTGACTTTTGGTTTTGGCCCAGATCATGATCTAGTGAACGTGCGATCAAGTCCTGCAACAGGCTCCACGCTGAGCATGGAGTCTGCTTCAGAATCTCTGGTCCTCCCCCTCCCACTCTGTTCTTCCCCCCACTAGCTTGCACTCTCTTTCTCTCCCTTTCAAATGAATAAATAAAATCTTTTAAAAACCAAATGTCTTTCCATGGACTTAGGAATGAGTCAAATGAGATTCCTGCCCTCCGGAGCATGTGGTCTAACAGGGGTTTCAGAAAATCAAGCACGGGCAAAGCTATATGGCAGAGAACACTTTAGGGTGCTCTAGGAAGATATAGGAGGGAAACCTTTTTTTTTTTTTTTAAGATTTTATTTATTTATTTGATGGACAGAGATTACAAGTAGTCAGAGAGGCAGGCAGGGAGAGAGGAGGAAGCAGGATCCCTGCTGAGCAGACAGCCTGATGTGGGGCTCGATCCCAGGACCCTGAGACCATGACCCGAGCCGAAGGCAGAGGCTTTAACCCACTGAGCCACCCAGGTGCCCCTAGGATGGAAACCTAAACGGGCTGAGGTCTCGGTCCATCAACTGCCTGAAGAAGAAGAAGACCATCTTAGGTCTTCTCAGGTCAGTCTCCCCAGAAATAGCCCAAAAGATGAGGTTTCATGTCGAAAAAATTTATTTCAAAGTTGCTCTCAGAGAAACCATTGAGGGGCAGGGGAAACAGGACGGGGAAGGGTCCAAAACCCAGTCTGGCCGTGACTCTGCACAAATCCTACGGATGGAAGCTCCAGCCTGCTCCTGCAGGGAATGAGGTAAGTCTGGCCTCAAAAATGCCCAGCCCCAGGCAGGAGAGCTGGGCTCTCTCCTCTGAGAGCTGCGCCATGGCCTCGGGGCCATTGTAGTCCATCCTCCCAAGGCAGGTCACAGGTGCTACTAGAAACAAAAGCACCACCAAACCCATGAGAAATGCCTCCTCAGATAACGTGGATGTGTCCTGCACCCCCTCCGCTCTCGCCAGCATTGGCTCGAGAATCCCACCAAGGCTAAGAGCCTCTTCTAGTTTTGAGAGTGAGCCATTCTGCTGAGCTGGGGGTGGGGGGCCCTCAGCTGGACCAGGAGCACCTAGCACTCCAGCATTAAATCCCCCCCCAACCCCCCCACAATCACACACACACAAACACATGCGTGTGCGCACATTCAGACGCACCTATTTACACACTTTCACCCTCATGCTTTCACACGCATGCATGCACACACACGCCAGTTTTTTTAAGAGCAAGAAGGAGGGTGTGATGTGATTGCCGGTGATGTGGTCAGCAAGACAGGCCAGGCTCAGTCTCCAGCTTGGGCCCCCGACCTTTAAGCCTTGGTGTCCCACCGCAGCTCCCCACACTTTTATCCTCACCGGCCTTGGGATGGGCCATGATAAGGGCCCGGGCAAACACAGCTCCCCAGGCCCAAGGGCCAGCTGGTGTCAGAATGAAAGGACAGCCTCTCCTGCAGGCAGCCGACTCTAGGCAGACCCCACCAAAGTAGGGTGGGACAGCTTCCGGCCAGAGACCCACAAGGCAACCCATTCATCCCAGGCTGGACATACCCCCAGAACCAACATCACACAGCTAGGGAGAAGCCCACTCGGGCCTCAGACATGGGCCTCACCATGCCTCTGAGCTCCAGTAAGTTTTGCCACTCAGTGGTCTCGGTCTGGGGTGACCTTGGCCGAGTCCTTGCTGTTCTCTGGGTCCTGATTTCTCATCTGTAAAACCAGAGATGGAACCAGATGGCCCCTCAATCATGACATTGCACTAAGTGACAGCTCCCTCTTAACCCCTAAATCCCGGACAGGCTTCCCACCCAGAGCTGTCTAACATGTATGAATTTAAGTCCAAAATACTTTATGTAATATTCACAGAGCACCTACCAAGGGGGGTAAGCATCCTACACATATTAATGCATGAGGTTCTGTTAGTATTCCCTCTTTAAAGACAGTGACAGGCACCTGACTCAGTAGAGCAAGGGACTCTTGATCTCAGGGTCCTGAGTTCGAGCCCCACGGTGGGCCCAGAACCTACTTAAATAAATAAATAATAATAAAGTAAAGATGGTGAATGGGAGGTAGAGAGAGAAAGGAAGTAACTTGTCCAAGTTTGCACAAGAGTCCAGGCCAAGCTGGGATGCAAACGCAGTACATCTGGCTCCCCGCACTGGGTTCTTAAGCTTTCCGCTCTGCTCCCTCTCCTTTTGTAAGCAGTGTTACATACTTTCATTTCCTTAACTCAAGCTCAATCTTCCCTCCCTTCCCAGCCACAGAATCCAGTGAGATTTGCAGACTATCCTGGGCTCAGGAACAAACAGGGGTGGGGTCCAGACAACATGGGGGTCACCCGAATAGCCAGAGCTCCCCCAGCTACGGAGGGTGACATGCCCATGCCCTCTGTCTCTGGGCAAGTCACAGAGGTGCCCCTCCCAAGTCCAGTCCTCAGGGGTCCCACCAGCTCCTCTGAAAGCCACACGCTCAGCTCCCACCTACCCCAATCACTGCCCCTCCCTGCAGAGCTGAGCAGGAGGAGAAGCAGCCTTGGCTGTGCTTGGAAGCCACCAGCCCCCGTGGCCCCCAGAGAGGGCTTCCCCCTCCTTCCCATCCTGGCACCCGCTTCTGTGCCCACCTGCCCGCCGGTGGGTGATCTCCTGTGACTTCACTTCCCAAGCCCGGACTGGGGCGGGAGCTTTCTGCAGAGTGGTTCTACAACACAGCAAAGTTGTCATTCCTTCTCTCCGGCTGCTGTGAGAACAGGAAGGAAATTAACATTTCCAAATATTACACGCAGGCTCCTTTCTGTGGAAAGTGCTTGGCAAATTGTTCAAGTAACAAGGAGAAGTTGATAACAGAAGGTGTTACAAAATGCAAGTTAAATCTGTCCTCCCACAGTCTGAACTTGGTCCTTTTCCACTGTGAAAATTCTCTATAGAGTAGGTCTAGTCCCTTGCTTTGGCGAAAACCTTTTAGATTTGAGGTTGTCCTTCCACTTCACAGAAGTCTTGATTTTCCAGGGTCAGCAGCCCCCCAGGACGTCTGTGCCCTCTCCTTCTTCCCCGGCACCCCTCCCTCTCTCCCCTCTCCCACAACCTGTCCACACACTCCCCCACCCATTTCCACAGCCGCCCGGCTCTGTCTTACATACTCCCTTCCTCCTAACCTCTTTCTTCTCTTGCAGGCCTGTCCAGGTCCATTCTCCTTCATTCTCCACGGTCAGACATCTCACTCGTCTACTCAGCACTCCCCAACACATGGGGTAAATCCCACACTCTTGAACATAGCATTCAAGGCCCACCCATGAGCTGGTCTTTGTTCTCCTTTCCCGAGTTATCCCTTGTGTCATTAGTGCTGTCCTCCTGGGTTTTTCCTGTCTTCATTCTAAACTCATGCTGGATTACACGCCCATGGTCCCTTGAAATTCAGTGTGGCCGTGTGACTTGTTCAGACCAATGAAATTCGAGCAGTAGCAACACCTATCACTTCTGGCAAGGGCTGTGATGGCAATGTGCAAGCTGGCACATGCCCTCCCCCTTCCCCCCCGCCATGGCAACCGGTGGCACTTGTAGATGGTGAAGTCTCCATCTTTCTGTGTCCCCATGTGGTGGCACCTCCAATCACAGCCCCCCATGACCTGTAATGGACACACAGGAAGACCAAGAAAGAAACATTTTTTTTAAGTGGGGTGTTGCGTGTTGCTGCTCATTTTGACTGATCTAATGTGTTCCTTGGGCCTATGACCTTTGCAATCCCACCTTTCCTGACTACTGACCACCCCTTGGGTTCCCTGGGATGCCCAGGCTGCCCTCTTTGACTGACATTCTCTGCTCCCTATGCCCACTCAGCAAAATCCTCTCATCCACTGGGACTCAGTGCAGTCGCCACCTCTACCAGGAAGGCTTCCTAACTTTCCGCCCAGGGCACCTGAAGGGAAGGAAAAATTCTTCTCTACCCTCGTGGTCTGCCTCGTGGCAGGACTAAGAATTCAATTTACATGAGACAGACTAATAGGAGAAAATAAAAACCAAAAGATTTATTATATGCACACAGAGGCCAAATAATGAAATCGAGATCCAAAGAAATGACCAAGGCAGGCAGTTTCTATACTTTTTAGGCAAAGAGAAAATAAATCTGGGAGGAACTGACGGGACAAAGAAAACTTAACTTTGAGAGCTTTGCTTAGGAATTCTAAACCGGGGGCACCTGGGTGGCTCAGTCCTTAGCGTCTGCCTTTGGCTCAGGTTGTGATCTCAGGGTCCTGGGATTGAGCCCCACATCAGGCTCTCTGCTCAGCAGGAAGCCTGCTTCTCCCTCTCTCTCTGCCCCCGCTTGTGTTCCTCTCTTGCTCTATCTCTCTCTGTCAAATAAATAAATAAGATCTTTGGGGGGAAAAAAGGAATTCTCACCAGAATTTGGGCTGGGGTAAATTAGTAAAAAGTAACAAAGGTCATTAATACAGCCTTCTTGGATCTAAATTTCCCATCTCTGGGGACAAGGATCTCTTTAGCTCCTAGTACAGGGCAGTTACCTTTTACCTTTCACCAGGAAGAGTTATTTTCTGCTTTCACAGGGTCAGGGGAGGGTGTGAAAGCCCTTCTTACACAGACTGTCTCTTAAGTACTTTTATTTAAAATAATATGCTGGGGGGGGGCACCTGGGTGGCTCAGTGGGTTAAGCCTCTGCCTTCAGCTCAGGTCATGATCTCAGGGTCCTGGGATCGAGCCCCACATCGGGCTCTCTGCTCGGCGGGGATTCTGTTTCCCCCTCTCTCTCTGCCTGCTCTCTGCCTACTTGTGATCTCCGTCTGTCAAATAAATAAATAAAATCTTTTAAAAAAGTAAAAATTTAAAAAATGAAGTGAAGAAGAGTCTCTAACATATCTAATAATTTTGTCCTCCACCTCCCATCCCCCCCCCCCCCCCCCCCCCCCGTTGCTCCGCCACATCATTTCCTGACTGCTCCCTCCCCAACACTGCGCCCAGCACTCTTTAGCAGCAGAACAGTCAAGAGCGTGGAATTTGCAGTCAGGCCGACCTGGGTTCAAACCATAACTCTACTACTCACTACTAGCTGTTTCTCCTCGAGGGAGTACTTGACGCCTCAACCCTCAGTTTCTCCCTTTGTAAATTGGGGACAATCTCAACCTCATAGGGCATCCGTGGAAAGCACCTGGGAGAACATATCCAGCATCTCTGGGGCTTGTTGATTGAGTCAGGCTCTGGGCCTGGGAGACTGGAGGGGCCACGGAAGCCCTCGCTGAGGAGGAGGCAGTGGAGATGACAGCTGAGAGGAGGAGAAGGAGCCAGCCAGGCAAAGGGGTGGGAGAAGAACATTCCAAACCAGGGAAATGCAATTACGAAACCCCAAACTAACCAAATCCCATAAATGGCCACTTTTCTGCCTCCCACACCTGGACCACCCACTGCCCGCCAGGGGACATCTAGGCCACGCGTCACCCAGCATGACCCCGTTACGCACTCCACTTGCAAGTCACCAGCACTGAGCCATCCCTTCCCTCCCCAGAACCTCTGGGGCTGCTGCAGACCGAGGCGGGAAAATCAGGGCCGTACTGCCAAGTGGGCTCGGGGCCCGGGCTGTGTGGGTAAGCTGGCTATCGCGGGGGGCCCGGGAGACGTCACTGCCACCAGCAAAGACTGAGTCTCTCAGTTTGCTTGCCTTCCTGGGCAGAACCTCCCACGCACCGATAGGGCCAAGAGGAAAGTAAATGCTCTTGTCTAATCTTGACCTGTGTGATCACAGGGTCAGCACAGGTGGCCGCTCCCTGGGCAGAATCCGGTTTCTCCATCCCTTCTCCAAAGGCAGCCACGGGACATCAGGATCAGCACCCGACCCTGAGGCCTGCGGGCTGGAACTCAACTCACAAGCCATTGGGGCCCATGTAATGCCCAGCCTGTCCTTACGGGTCTGCCCTTTTCCACATTCCAGACCCACACAGCACAGCCCCCATAAAGCGGGAGCAGTGTCATCCCCCATCAGGGCCCTCAAAGCTCCAAGGTCTTTCCTGAGCATCAGACAAATCCCTTGAACACAGGCTTGTCGGAGCCTCCTGACTGGCCCGCCTAGTCCCTGAAGAGCTAAACAGACATTGTGTCGAAGTTGCAGAAGGCTGAGCAGAAATGGTTCATTGCTCTAAATTCAGGCCAGTGCTGTGCAATCCGTCAGGGGCGGTGTTGCATGCACGAGGAGGAGGGACCGCGGGGCTACAGAGGGGGCATGAGTCAGATGCTGTAAACACTGCCTCCTGGTGCCACTCCAGCTGGGGCTGGACCCACTGTACCTGGCACCTGGGAGAGCCAGCTCCCAGTGCCGCTTTCTTGCTGCCCCGAGAGCAGGGCTGGAGCCAGAAGCCGACCAGACTCAAGAAGGAAAGAGAAGGACCTCAGCCCTGCACTTGCGGGCCTCTGAGAGTTGCCCACGGAGGTTGGCACCAGTGAGCCTTCTCTGAGCTGTCCCGGTTCAGCGCTCTCCCAGCCGGAGGGAGGACCAGACGCCTCGAGCCCCCACACTTCACTAATTCACCTTGCAACCTTTTGGTAAGGGACACTGCCCGGCCTCCAGTTTCTTCCTCCCTAGAATGAGGGGACTGGACTTGTTCCAGGAAAGCAGCTGGTCCAGATGGCGTGCCAATGCTGGTGAGCACGACGAGCGGCTAAGGGTACAGGTGGCTCAGGACATCGAGGCCCCATCCAGCGCTCAGATGCCCTGGCAGGGTCCGCCCTTCCCTGGGGGCAGCAGGTGGCCAACCAGGTGTCACCACAAGCAGGAGGGCCTCTTGGCCCCATCCTGCAGAACATTCTGCCCCTCGGAATCTGTGGGCTGAGATCAAGTAGTTAAAAGGCAGATGTTACCGACTAGAAGACTGTGGATTCTTCAACAGAAACCTGGGTCAAGCTGATGAATCACCTCTCCTAAAGGAATAAATTCCAACAAAAGGATTCTGGGGACAAGACGCGACAGGAAGGTCAGCTACCTCAGACAATATTTCA